AACTAGGAAACTTTCCCAGGCCTAGTGTAACTTAAGTTATTTTACAAACTAGGAAACTTTCCCAGGCCTAGTGTAACTTAAGTTATTTTACAAACTAGGAAACTTTCCCAGGCCTAGTGTAACGTAAGTTATTTTACAAACGAGATTTATTTTAATGAACATCACATAATTCATAGATTACATTATATATAATTACTGATTTTCTAAACTACTGATAATCATTAAAGATACTTATAAGATCCAATGGTTGTTAGCCTAATGCAATTCAGTGTGAGGAAAAATAGAGTTGTTTCAGTTTTGTATGACACCGTATTAAATGTCAGTAAAAATTGTGTTTATCTTATGTGTAAGTCTTTACAAGTCTTTCTCCCCATTTCCTGTGAACCATTTCTAGGGTGTTAAGCGCTCCGTTACTAGGCTACATGGGGCAGCAGTAGGTACTGCAGAAATCATCGTTTTTAAGGTTAGTCATGAGAAGAGCTTCAGTGTTAGTAAGCAGTGTGGTTATGATTCTGGTGATTAACCCCATGCTGTCCATCACTATTTTGTCGACCCTGTTTGCCCATGGCTGTGAAATATTATCTTTTTATATGTGATGATACCTTTGGTTTTGTTCACTACATTATTCATATTTTATTACATTGATATGTTCTTTTATTTTGTTTCAAAACAAACCAATAATCTTGTTTCATGTGGCTGTTTATAACTGTAACCTTCACATCTTTTTTTTTTACATCAAAAATGTTGTATATAATTAAATTTCTATATGAGACATACTTGTAAATGTCTTATATAAACTTCAAATATATGTGTTATCTTTATTGTCTTCGTTTTGTTTTTAAGATAACTAAAATTTTGTGATTCTTTCATAAGTGAAAGAAATATTAAAATAAAATTTGGTCTCTTCACATTTTCAAACTGCAACTTGTGGTCAGTCGTATGAAAAAATGATATAAATGTCTAGATAGATGGACAGTCCCGTTACGGAAGCTACGTTTGATTCAATATAGATTTATTAGCGCTAGATAAGGCCTTTCGTGAATGAGATTGATAAGTTATAAGGAATTTGTCACTCATCGCATAAATAAGGGAAACGTGAAGCAGATAAAAAAAGTGAATGTCCTTATATTTGTGTTATTGAAAATAGCCACAACGTTATTCTTGGTTTGTTTTTACATTCTTTTATTTAAGAATAATTATTTTTGAAATGCATGATGTACTATTTTTTTTTATTCTGTTACTGTGTAGCATGGAGATGTTTAGTTGTTGTTTTAGTACATCCTGTGTTGTTTCTCTATGTTTATGTTGTCTGTTTTTGCAGACTCTAGAAAGTTATGGAGTTAATGCCAGTGTTGAGAAACTTATCATGTTAAAAGTAAGTGCAAGTAACACATTCCTGTAAAAATGATAAGTTTCTCAACACTGGCATTAACTTGCACATTACACATTAGTTAAATTAAAAGTGAGTAACACATTCCTGTAAAATTAACTAATGTGCGATGTGGAATTTAACACCTGTGTTGAGAAACTTATCATGTTAAAAGTAAATGTGATAACACATTCCAATAAATTAAGTAACGTGTAATGTGTGAGTTAATGCCGAGAAACATATCATGTTAAAGTAAGTGGGAGTAACACAATCCAGTAATTTAAGTAATGTATCTTTACTATCTTCCAAATGTATTTTCTGTTTGTTTAAAATCCCTTTTCATGGTTTAGTTTATTTTTTTTTATAACTTCTCTTGTATTAGATTGAAAGAACCAACTGTTCCTTTTTTATTACTTATTTTGTGCTTCGGATAGATGATTAGAATTGAACTTGTAGTAGTGCTTCAATTTTATTTGTGTAAAGTATTCAAACTACCTTTTAGAGAAATTAAAACACAACTATAAAGTTTCTTTTACTTACAAGTCTTCTATCAGTTTTACTATAATTAGGCCAAAAAACAAAATTAAAACTTTTTAAAAACTTTGCCAGTAATCACTAAAACAATGGTTCAATAGCGGGATTCTCCGTTACTTTGTCTGTGATTTCAAACTATTTTGTATTTACTTGAACATTACTTTGGTTTTCCAGGGAGACAGAGGAGAACCTGGACCTCCGGGTCCACCAGGTCCCCAAGGTAATACAGGCCTTCCAGGGTATGATGGTAGAAGTGGACTCCCGGGCGAACCAGTAAGCTCATATTGCAATCTAAAAAACAATCTGTGAGAGGAAAAGTCTATAAATATAAACGCGATGGTATCGGATTCCTTGAAATGTGATTGATTTACTTTCTGATCCTAAACACTTTTTTGGTGTAAGTGTGTATGATAGGATGATTATACCTTTTATTACTCTTATTTTCAGGGTCCACGAGGTGAACCTGGACCAGAAGGACCCCCAGGGCCTGAGGTTAGTGGTCAAATTAAATGTTCTTCAAGTAACTTGTATAGACATGGAAAATGATCCATTTTATCAGGGTTTTTTATTATTATTTGGCTACTGGTTGGCTTGGAGAGTGAGGAACAATACATGTAGTTTTCCCCACATTTTACAATCATGTGATTTATTTCTAAACATGGGTTTAAGCCAAATTAAAGTAAATGTCAAAAAGCTGGGTTTCTGATAGACTATTTCTGTTATTAAGTCAATCACAAGAATGTATCTTCTCATAAATAAATATAAGAAAAGAAACCCAATAACACAACAGCACGTTTTGAAAGTAGACGTTACTTCATAAAGAAATAACTAAACTACAGACAAGAGTACAAAGGAGTAATATCATAAGTCTGCCAACTTAAACTTCATAAAAGTTGTTTTGGTTTTAATAACAGATTTTCCATAATTCAGCTATGCAGATTTCGCAAATAATATTGACTTTTTTTTATCACATAAGGAGTTTTTACAAATTGAGAAGAAAAAAACTCTTATTTAGATCAAATTATTATTTCGTTTACCACAATGGACATTTTTTTATTATTATGTTTGTTAACAAAAATACAAACAAACTGAAGAAAAGAGGAAAACGTTGATGTCAAACGAATATGCATCCTCATTCATCCTGATTTTTTGTTTTTTGTAAAATCTACGTCTTTTAGTCTCAAAACTACGTGTTGTGGTCTTTCTTTTATGTATTGCATTATAACGTTTTGTGAAAAATCCATACGAGATGGAGAAAAATGGATATCATTTTCGGATTCAACGTACAGGAATTACTGTAGAACATGTAAAAATTTAAGACCATAAAACCATCGCAGGCCTGTGTTATTCAGAGCAAAATAATAACAGTAAATACTGCAGTCATTTTCTTGGCCAACTTTTTGTTTAATGTTGTTTTTATATTATATTTATATGTACTAGAGTCTGCTTATAATAATTACATAATTCATAATTACAAGTTTATTATCTTATAGCTAAACTGAATTATAAGTGAAGCATTTTTTGACCTAGTTAGAAAATGATATGTATAATAGTAATTAGCAACCCCTGGCCATTTTTTATAAATTTATTTTCCCCATCAGCTTAGTTGCATATAACCTTAAGCCTTTTACAGTAAAAGACAAAAAGTTTCTTATTACTATGTTGTATTTTGTAGGGACTGATTGGAAAAAGTGGATTACCTGGGCCAAAGGTAAGTAATTACTTGTAATTTACATAAACAATATTTGTTATTATAGAATTTTAGAATGGTGATTTATAAAACCTTTCCTTCAGATATGATTTTTTATACCAGTTCTGTTCTGATGGGTTGACTTTTCAGTTCTTATTTCAAGCACATACACAGAAAAATAGATCAAAAAGTGTATCGCTTTAGTAGTATAGTTTAGCCACAGGACTAGTTTGTATCACTTTAATTGTATAGTTTATACACAGGACTAGCTTGTATCACTTTAGTAATATAGTTTATACACAGGACTAGCTTGTATCACTTTAGTAGTGTAGTTTATACACAGGACTAGCTTGTATCACTTTAGTAATATAGTGTATACAAAGGACTAGCTTGTATCACTTTAGTAGTGTAGTATATACACAGGAATAGCTTGTATCACTTTAGTAGTGTAGTTTATACACAGAACTAGCTTGTATCACTTTAGTAGTGTAGTATATACACAGGACTAGCTTGTATCACTTTAGAAGGGAGAAAAATGTGTATTCTTTTAATTGTTTAAATTTTTGTTCCTTTAAAAAATTAAAAAATTTCCACATTAAAAAATTTTATACAAGTATTTTTCGTAGTGTGATCCTACACTTGACATTTAATTGTTTACCTCAACTTGATGCATAACAAAGCCAATATTATCTTGATGCAAATGTGTTTCAGTAGCCATACAGATTAATTCCAGAAATTGATACAAACAGTAACAGTCGTATGGTCGAGGAATGTAACTTGTAATCAAATGTTAATTACAAGTCTGTCTGAGTAACACAAACAAGGTATAAATAACATTTATTATAAAGCCAAAGAACAATCTTGTTCTTTAATTTCAGTTGTACGAGGTTTTTAGTAACTTCTATATGCAAGGTTTTCTCTTTTATTTTATATTTTGTGTTTATTTTTTATTTGAATATAGGTGGGCATGGAACATGATCCAAGTATTATTTATTTGTTTTATGTTTGTTCGCAATACACATGTTGACAGGTACAAACAAGAAAAATGGAGATTTGTCAACTTAGTGAACAGGGTGAAATAACTGAACACTTTATCAGTTATAACTGAAAAGATAATAATACTTGTAGTTAGTAAACGTAGTGAACAGGGTGAAATAACTGAACACTTTATCAGTTATAACTGAACAGATAATAATACTTGTAGTTAGTAAACGTAGTGAACAGGGTGAAATAACTGAACACTTTATCGGTTATAACTGAACAGATAATGATACTTGTAGTTAGTAAACGTAGTGAACAGGGTGAAATAACTGAAAACTTTATCAGTTATAACTGAAAATATAATAATACTTGTAGTTAGTAAACGTAGTGAACAGGGTGAAATAACTGAACACTTTATCGGTTATAACTGATATAATGATACTTGTAGTTAGTAAACGTAGTGAACAGGGTGAAATAACTGAACACTTTATTAGTTATAACTGATCAGATAATTATACTTGTAGTTAGTAAACGTAGTGAACAGGGTGAAATAACTGAACACTTTATCGGTTATAACTGAACAGATAATGATACTTGTAGTTAGTAAACGTAGTGAACAGGGTAAAATAACTGAATGCTTTCTATAGTGAAATGTAAGAGTTGAGTAGGATGATGTTCTGATTTTCATTTTGCAATGTTGTTCATGTTTTCACAATATTCAGGGCAACAAAGGAGAAAGAGGCTTCATGGGTGCTCCAGGATATCCAGGTCTTACAGGGAAACCAGGATTCCCAGGACTACCCGGTATTCCTGTGAGCAATTATTAATTACTCTTCCCCCCTCTGTGTCTAGGCCGTCATCAGTGTTTCCTGTGTCCATTTCAAGCTGTCTTTTGGGTGGGTAGGGGTTCTAGCAGTCATAAATAATCACACAGAACAGAAGATGATTCAGACAATAGTTGTCACCGATGCAGGAACAATATTTTAAAGTGCAGTGCTGGGAACCATTGAACAAAATTATAACCTCTCTTTATGATGGAAACCATGCATATGATTGCTATTATATTAAAACATGTTACTGAAACAATGCGAGCATCGACAGAAATTTACTTATTTAATTAAACAATTGCTGTAACCAAAATTCTTACTATAGTGTTCACAAAACATTGAAAGCAAACAAAGTGAAAACTACATAAGCTTTCGTAACAATATTTTTCAAACTTCAGAACAAATTTTTTCTTGAAGTGGCTGACATCATATTCTTTCACATTAAACTACTAGTAAATATCATTCAATGGCATTTCAATAATAGCAAAAAGTACAGCAGTTATCCACAAACATGTTATATTGTAAAACATAAACAGTGTAAATCAACATTTTTTTTCTAGCATCATACACCAATAAGTGTACAGCATCTCCGAAATTCAAGCCCAGGGATGTTTCAAGGGAGTAAACATCCAATCTTAACAAACTTTATATTTATCTAAACTTTGTTGTTTGTCTACACTAAGAAACATCCCATGTTAACAAAATGTATATGAATCTAAACTTTGTTTTTTACCTACACTAAAAAACATCCCATCTTAACAAACTGTATATTAATCGAAACTTTGTTCTTACCTACACTAAAAAACATCCCATGTTAACAAACTGTATATTAATCTAAACGTTGTGGGATGTTTCGTAGTGTAGGTAAAAAACCTTAACAAACTGTATATTAATCTAAACTTTGTTTTTACCTACACTACGAAACATCCCAGGTTAACAAACTTTATATTAATTTAAACTTTGTTTCTACCTACACTACGAAACATCCCATGTTAACAAACTGTATATTTATCTAAACTTTGTTTTTTACCTACACTAAAAAACATCCCATCTTAACAAACTGTATATTAATCGAAACTTTGTTCTTACCTACACTAAAAAACATCCCATGTTAACAAACTGTATATTAATCTAAACTTTGTTTTTTACCTACACTACGAAACATCCCAAGTTAACAAACTGTATATTAATCGAAACTTTGTTTTTTACCTACACTACGAAACATCCCACCTTAACAAACTGTATATTAATCTAAACTTTGTTTCTACCTACACTACGAAACATCCCACCTTAACAAACTGTATATTAATCTAAACT